TTCAGATGAATATGTTAAATTAGGTGATGTCAAGGTTGGGTCATCCGAACGGGTATTACATAAGCTCTCTCTGTTTTTCTTCAAACTTTTCTTCTTTACAAGACTCGCTGCTGAGTGACGTGAATCATTATTCACAATTCTTTTCTCTTCACATATAGCACAACGTTTGACCAACCGCTCGGATAGGATTGTAAATTTTTAAGGCATTAGCTTCTAATGTTCTCATTAATGTTCTGCGTTATTTTTCAAATTAATTATAGTCCTTCTAGAAACATGAATCAAAGGATCTCCCACAAGTTTCTGTAAAAGTATCTCATATTTCGGAGTTATAGTTTGGAGATAGTAAGTGGTATCTGAATTAGCATACATGTCTGGAGCTTCTTGCTACCTTTGTGCAATTGAACTTAGTTGATAAGAATTCTTGGTATTCATGGTAAGTAGGACGGTTTATCTCAGGCACAATAATATATCATAAAAAATGGTCTTTCTATCGTCATACACTTTACGTTTTGCACATCTGTCCATCTTGTTTTCTCATGCAGACATGATGCTAGTTACAAAGGATTATAAGCAGAAGAGAAAGAAGAGAAAGAATAGTGTGGCGTGTGGGAAGGAAGGCGAGATGAGAGTTTGCTTTCAAGATTTTAAATAGTGGGTAGATCTCTTGTTAGAGAGAATGGCTGCGTAGAGGCCGCATCGAGGAGCTCATAGCATTGTAAGAAGAAAGGGAAAGGGACGGGGAGATAACCGCAGCCTGGCGAGTATGTGGCCAACCGATACGTGTTAGGCTTTGACGGGCTGAGCAGCGACTAAAAAATGAATTCTACCGCATTGAGATACAACGTTTGGTATATCTAACATTGTATGCTTGGCGGGTGGACCTTTAATGAATTTTTTAGATTTTCTATTCATCTAGTATTTAGAAGCAATTGCCCATATATGAGTTTTTTTTGTGTAGACTCTAGCAATAATTTCAACAACAATTACTGTTTGTACTAATTTCAAAAACTCTTACTACAATAGCAAAACATCAAATGTTGCCTTTATTCGTTAGACTATCTCTGAATAGCATTCTTCATGTTACCCCCTATGCATGACTTCTTCGTTCAACATTAGACAGGCTTGAATTTTACTCATTAGTAAATGAGTTTTACTTAACTCTGAAATTCATTAAATTCCTTTACGCCTGGTTGCCTGCCACGATGTATTACAGACGTAAGCGCCCATATATGCGTATATGTGATATGTATATTATACACATGTTTATATCCATATATATATAAGTCGACGCACATTCATTCCTATGTATGTGTAATAATTCACTTATCCTTATAAATAAACAAACAATAGGAGAAAATAATAGCAACAACAATAATAACTACATCTGTAGAATGACAAGTGTGTCGGAATGTTTGTGCAATGATTCGTTTCTTTAGTATTAAATGCAATATATAAACAAAAACAATAACAGTAACAACAACAACAACAACAACAGCAGCAGCAATATTTATAAGTGGGTCGCCGTCGCTACGGCGTTTTTAAAATCCATGAGAATTGCTTTTCGTTTAACTACACGTACATGAGTAAGCGTGCGTGCATATATATATATATATATGTGCGTGTATGTGAAATTTAATTTTTCCATACGAAACTGTAACTCGGTATTTGTATCCATCCACTGCTTGTATATATTTGCTTTGCCTTAAACTTTGTTAGTTTTCGCTTTAGTCACATCCACAAGAACAAAAAATAAATAAATAAAAAAAAACTTATTGTTGCATGCTATCGGTAGATTTCGTAAGTAGAAGGAATCGTTGCTTTCTGCTTCCAGGACGGGGGGATGGACGTTACGAGATTAGTTGTATGTGTTATGCACACATATAAACATATGTATATGCACAATTGTTTATGTTTGCGTGCGCATTGGGTTGGTTTTTACATCAAGTAATGAGGGTGAAATTGAAATCTAAGTAAATATAAACAGTTAAACAAACAAGCGTTTTGAAATTAGTATCCAATCTTTGAGAATTGTCACTAAACGTAGAGAGAGCACATAAAATACTTATGCATACACAAACAGCTGTAAACTTCCAAACAATATATACAAATGCGCATATATACATACACACACACGCATCCACAAAGAGAAAGACACATTTACATTTGTGCATATATAAAATCATAATTTTTGCATACGCATGTGTATTTAGATATGTTGTATACACAATAATGTTACATTTCTTTACACTTGAAAGCCTTACAAATGTTGTATCTCTGTTTTGCCGCCATATGTTATTAGCGCGTGCATACACAATTGTATGTGAGCGAGACATTGTTGCCACAATTCTACATTCAATCTTCATCAATCTTAACTTAGTGGCAAATGATTTCAAACGAAAATTCCATTTAGAAGGAAATAACTAAGAATTAGATTACCTAAGATAGATGAGCGTATGCAGCAAATCCCTTTAAACTAGAATAAGAATATGGGAATGCCTTAAGTCGATCAGAAAAAGCTTAAATAGCCTTACTTTCGAAAGAGACGTCCTAGCGTGCGTTCGAAACTAAAGCAGCCTTACTTCTACTATCATGTAAAATTCGGACAGTTATTCCTATATTTTGCATTGAGACGACAGTTGCACCTCACTACTGTGATGAAATCAGCCCTATTCTTCCATTTATTTTCGAGAAGAGCAACCTATAGCTTTCTTTCGGCATAAAAGCTGTTGTAACTCGCTAGGGAACACAGCTCTAATATTCTTTCGCGGCTAACGCACCCGTAACCCGTGCCATTTGCCTTAAGGGAGCGGATTTCCACCCTGCTCTCGGGACGACGAAAGCTTCATCAAAACATTTCTAAGAAAATGCGTTACCTATGTTACCTACGTGAAGTTTGAAACTGATTTTCAGCCTTGAAGAGTTTTTAAAAATGATAGCATTTTTACCCATATACGAAGCGCTCTTTGATATTTGCGCTACAGACTTGACACTTGGCAAAGAGTGAGGACAAAATGTTCAAAAATGTTTTTGAGATTTTGATATGGAAGATTTTCTTCAAATAAGATTTTTTCAAAATTCGCAGTACACGGCAACTCTAGTATTTAAGGATAAGTAAGTTTTTAGTGTTTTCTTATGTATGACTATATGCTCGGTACGATGTTTCTACACAACTCTGTGATGATAACCTAAAATTTATGCAAATGTTGGCATTAAGTGTTATGTGCAGCAACATATTACTAGGATTGTACGAAAAAGAAGGAATCCCACTTGAGAGAATTGGATACACTGGACCGTACACTATACATTAGTTTCATTTCAATCTGCACATATATGTGATAAGCAATTTTTGCTTTTAATTTATTGGTAAAAGGATTTCTTGAGTAATTTGTTAATTGCACTGCATTCGGTTATTGATTAGTTACCTTTAAATTAGAAGTATCTCCAAAGGGATTACTTCCCTTATATGAATGCAAGCGTAGCTTGATTCGTCTACGTATATCTATCTTTGCTTTATATTTCGCTTAACCAAACGGCCCTAAATTTGTCGCTTCTGTCCCTCTCTCTCTCTTTCTCTCTGTCTCTTTTACCAAATGATTTATTATGCACTTTCTATCTGTCGTTCTAAGCGAATATAGATATACTTTGCTGTACGAATGTCTTTCTGTCTGTTTCTCTATCTGTATGTCTACTTGTCTGTCTGTCTGTCTGTCTGTCTGTCTGTGTGCATTTAAATCACAACTTATATCTAATACTAGCATCTTTCAGTTGTTTTGCTTGTAAATTTTTGAGGTTAAATTTTTATCGAGCTTGTTAATCATGTGTACAGTACACTTTTTGCACTTTTACTTTGTTTTCCTTGCTTTTGTTATTCTTTGTCTATGGTAAACATAACTGCATGCATATACCGTAGTACAGGCAAATAGTAAATGAAGGGAATTTTCATGTTTGTTATAGAAATTTTAGAAATTCAGTAAACTAGCCAAAGGCGATAAAGCAGCAATTACTCATTTAACAGAGAAAGTTAAAGAAAAGCTAACACATGTACGTCCAGCCTCACAATCACGCACATGCTTTTTCAAATGTTATCTAAATGAACACTCATGACTGCGCTTTTAACCGAACATCACAAATGGCGGCTTAGATATTTGAAATTTGATTGTTTTGTTTTTTTTGTTTTTTCCTTTTTTTTGAAATTTTTTATTATTACCTCTTTTTTTTTTTTGAAAAATCCATCCCTCTATGCTTATAACCAATTCTAGGCATTATTGAGATGAAATGTTTGCTACACTTTTTATTTCTTCTTCAATGGCCGTCAATGCTGTAATATTTACTATCATGACTGCTATTGTGATTATCAAAAAGTTTACAAATTTCAAATGCATTTGTGTTACTACTGTTCTACTTTTCTCTTCTCTGTTGTTTTTTTTTTTTTTTGTTTTCTTTTATATTTTTATTGAACAAATCCAAATTTTTGTTTGGCGTTTGCTTACCAAACTCACGTATTTTGTATGTATATGTGTATGTATATGTGTGTATTTACCGAAGGGGGTTAAACTACACATAACTTTACATTGTTTACAGTAAACTTTCGAAAGCAATCGTTGCATGCCGTCGGCACGTTCTGCCAGTTCAGCCCAGGTCGTCGTTGTTCGGTACTGAAGTAATCGTTTAAACACTGGCACGTGTTGAAAATTTAAAATTTCCATCAAAAGCTTAATAACTTTTCACAACAACCACTTTTCCTTGCTTTATTTTTTTAGCTAACTTACCAAAAATGTAGTGCCCCCGCTCTCGCATATAAATTATTTTATCAAAAAAGTTTTATATAAAGTACCCAATATAAGACCCCTAAATAGAATATGAAGTAAGAATATGCGCCATGGCGCTCCAATGTAATAAAATACTTGGTCTTATATTAAAATGTACTTAAAAATAATTTTTTTATATATGTAACTATCTGAACATTTATGTATATGTATATAACATACTTATGCACATACCTGTGTTAGCTGTGACGAGGCATAATACGATATTCTCGAGGGACAACACACCGATTCCGGTTTCGAATAAATTGTCTCCGTTATCTGATCACCCATTGGTAACAATGCTGTTGCGTACGGTGAAGGGGTTGGCGAGCTACGAAATTCTAGTTATGTAAATAAAATAAAAATGAAATGAAATTTTTGAAAAAAAATAAAAACATTATTAAAAAATTTTATATTGGTTTTTGCTTTGTGCAGCTCGGTATTGTTTCTCTTCCTTTTTTGCTTTTCATGTTGCTTGTATTTGTTATGATGAACTCACTTTCAAATATATTGCATGATTTTTTCGTTTCCGAAGGATATTTATTTAGACTAGCAATTGTAGCATAGGAGCCGCTATTAGCACTCGGTGGCCGACCTAAAGGATCTAGGCGTATAAACACATTCTGGTGGCTGCCGTATGCGGCAGTAGTAAAACTTGTACTGATGTGCACAAAAAACAAGAGGAAAAAAACAGAAAAAAGATTTATGAGAACAATTTTTCTTTAACTCTTCTTTCTTTCCCTTTAACTTACTGTAATGAATCTTGTCTGATCTGCTTACGTGCCCTCAGGTACATTGTACTAGCGGTCAATCCCACCACTAAAATCAAGCCCAAAGCACAAGCTGCAGCTCCTAGCAAAGCTGGACCTTGTGAGGGCGCATGAGCCGGGGCCGGTGATTGGTTTGGCGCTGGAAAAAGACCTTAGAAGATAGGATTTCATTTCAATGGACAATTATTGTAGAAAAATTTTTCAGCAAGTACTATTTTGAAATCAATTCCTTTTGCAGAGTTCAATTTTGAGATCACCCCAAAGATACCCAGTTGAAGTAGGTCCATGTGCGAGCATCAACAACCCCATACACTTGTACTTGACTCTTTCAATAGTCTCAAGCGCCATGTCAAGTCATGTCCCTCTGTCCGTCTATACCGTCCGCCCATTTGGCTGCTTGCTTTTCTCTGCTTTGCTCTCTCTTCCTTTCTAATGCCTACTGATTTATTAGTATTTTTGATTGGCCTTCCTCCCGAATGTTGAACATTCTACCTATAAGTTTATTCTCTATCCATCTTTTTGTCCCACCGTGCTTTTGCTTTTTTCTTCGCCTGTCCTTCTTTGTGTCTCCTTCTACCTCATTCTTTCGCTCTGTTTTTTACACCTTACAATACCTGCATATACATTAAATATGGGCGTGTGTATACAATGCAAGACTTGAGATAGACCGATTTTTTTTGCTTGTCCTTAAACTTGTCTATCCATCCGGAGGTCACAATGTTAGAGATATTTGGATGAAATATAATGCAGCGAGGGGCCTTTGGCGCAAAGACGAACTCTGTTCCAACTGATTCGGATCGGACCATTTTCTCGACCTCTTCCCATAACACCTTATTTTTAAAAGTGTTTCTAATAATAACTGGGGTAAAGGAAGTGATGCAGTGTATCTAACGATTCCATAATGTTTTAAATTTCTTTGTTTCTCGCTTTTATCTGTTTGTCTTTCTTCTTATCTATGTGTAATTCTTTCTATCTCTATTTGTTTCTCCTTCTGTCTGATTCTTCTTCTGCTTACCCGTATTTCCGCTCAATTTTTCGCTATCTGTTTTCCTACTTGTTTAACTACAAAAAGAGTCTAAAAATCGTCCAACCCTTGGTGTAACTCGCCCAAAGAGAAGCTTACAATGGACACTGTATATGTACGCTATACGCTACAAACTATCTAAGATATTGGTCTGAACTTTGTTACAAACATTTACGATCTTTTCAGGTACAGCAGAGCAGTCGATTAGTTGAAGTAATTGAAAAAGGAAAAAAACCGTTAATCACTATTTTTTGTTTTACGCGGTTGTCTGTTTTAAATGCATATTGGTTGACAGCTGAATGAAAACCACATTGAAAAAAAAAAGAAAAGCAGTAAAATTATATTGAAAAATATAAATAAGCGAAAGAGCCATTATTAGTAGAAAGGGTATAAAGCAACTTCTGGATAAAATGTGACATCATTTTAGTTTCAATACAATGCAAGGATGTATTTCTTCTATAAAACAAAATGGAGCGTTCATTGGAGTCCGATTGCTGTAGCTTAAAAATATTATATGTATGTATATATTTATATATAATATAACACATTACTCCATAAGGTCTTAGGATCAAATGCAGTGAGAATGCTACACAATATTCACTATTGATCCTTTGTCCCTTTTGCAGATTGTCGGTGGATATTATACCATGGATGCCGACTGACTTTTGGTTCTTTTTGGTCGCTATGAACGGCATACGTTGGCTGCTGTCTACGCGTTGCTGACTGTCTTGAGTGTAGCGATATGTCCACACTTCATCCGTTGTCATATATATATCTGGTGAAAAAGTCCTTTTTACTTCGCCTAAACACCTCCAACAAGTTGTCATTCTCGATCAAAAGTAAGGAAGCGCAATACTCACTTCAGGCAAAACTTTCTCATGGGCAAACAATTATGCAAAATACATACATAGGCCGCCTTCTGATATCTATACCACGAAAGTTGACTTTTACATCTTGTGAAGCGAGCACTTGTCTCGAGAGAACAGAGTCCAAATAACACTTGTAAGGCCATTCCTTTGCTGGAAAGCTATTGTTTCACCTTAAACGCCATTGCCTTTTCTTTTCTCCATTATTTTGAAAATTATAAAGGTAGCGTCAGTAAAGCAACTGCGACTCACTCACAGTCGGGAAATCACGAAAATTTGACATATTTCGTTTGAAGAACGGGATATTATGTGGATTGTTTAATGGTATATATATATATTCTGCTTTAATAAACACATGCATTCGCACATTTATTGTATATAGTATATTTTTGTATATACGAGTATACGTATGTGTATAGTAATACGCAATAATTTTTTTAATGCTTCTTTAAAACGAATTATTCAATGATTATGATTATAACTGTAAATTTTTATAAATAAAACCTAAGTTTCAGGAAGAAACTCTTTACGCTTAGCTTGAGGAAAGTGCAATATGTAGAAATTTTTGAAGAAGCAGCATTTCGTAGCGTAAAACACGCAAATTACGTTAACTCGCAAAACGACATATTTTAGGACAATGTGATGTGTGCAGTGTCGCAACAATGCTTGAGTTGAAGTGGTCAACATAATAATTGTCTAATTAACAAATCTCAATGTAAATATTGTTGACCACAAATTTCTTGCTGTCGAGATTGTCATATCTGTGAATGACAGAATTTATGGCATTGTGGCAATATTCTGCTTGGACACTGTTCGTGAGTGCCGTAGTATGCAGGGGAGAAAAATTTGAAGATACAGAGCCTGAAGTGCAAAATGTAATTGAATGGTTTGTCCTTAAACCCCATGCCTCGAAAACAGTGAGGAAGTAATTATACAAACGCTCGAAAAATGCTCCTAAACAAACTTCGATTGAAGAAAATGTTTCCTTTAAAGTTACTTTTTGATCTGAGGAAATACAACAAAGTGCGAGGTGTACGTTAGGGGTAGCATTAGCCAAGCAAGCAAATTCTGTTCGGCTGCGGACGAATTCTCTGGATTGGAGTGCCATTGGTGTTTTTTTCTGTGTTTCCACCGCTACTTTAGCGTAGCTCATGGGATATAGAAAAATTGATTGCTGTTGTTTATGAAAACAGGCGTTTATGCGATCAGGGTCATATGTATAACAAATGGAAACAAACACACGGGCACAAGCATGCCGTAAGTAGATTCAATACTCCATCCTGCTTAAGAGTATTTAGGAATTCTATAGGATCTCTGAAGCTTCCTTTTGGGTGCTGCAAACGCTTCGACAAAATGAAAAGGAAAAAAAATTTAAATTGATTTGATTTATAAAAGTTTGTTTAATTTTCTCTTTCTAAACGAAGTAATTCACTTTTCATATTTTATAAGAAAAAAAAAGAAGAGAAATCAATAAAGAAATTTTTAACAAGCTAGATTGATGAATATGTATGACACGTCCTCGTTTTAATTATTGTAAACACCGCAGGGGGTATATTAAATTTTGGCAATGCCTGGCGCACGTATATTCTTGAGCGTAGCGAATAGCGTAAAGTATTAAAGCTTGTTTTCCTATCCGTTCGCTCGGCTATTGAGACTTGTGAAATTTTAATCACAAGCCGGGATTCATACGATTTTTTTAAAACTACATCATCGGTCCATGGATGATCCCTAAGTAAAAAAGAATTGAGAATTGAGTCGTTATAACATATAAAAAACTATACCTTGTCATCACACTTTTCTCTCCCATGTAAACTTCTTTGAGAGAGAGGGTCGGCCCAGAAAATCGACTAATATTGTTCAGATTTGCGGCATTACATCTGCATACCCAGCTACTACATTACAGTATTTTTAAACGAAGGATATCAAAAATTCAACCTTATTGCCATATTCACCATATTGTTCACCTTATTGTTCCTTAGAATTAAAACTTTTTACATTCCTGTAGTATTCTAAACTCCCATTTTTCAACTTTTTTTATGGACAAATACGAAAAGCCACATACATTTTTCACACAAAGCAAAAACTTTTTCGAAATTGTGATTTGAAAATATTGAGTGAATTCGTAAGAATGGCCCCAATTTTCAATGGGATCCATTCTTTGTCCAAATATTAATGTAAGTATTACAAGTTTGGTCACAATATATCGGTGTCTTCAAGTTGAACATAAGAACACATAAGCGAACATCGGACTGACAGACGGACGGATATTCTTAAAACAATTGCTAAACTCTATCTTAAGTCGTTCTGAGTGATGCGTACATACGAAAAGGTAGTGTAGGGCATAATAAGCTCAAGTAAGCAACTATTTGCTCTATGTGGAATCATATAAAAGCATAGAGAGCATTAAATATGTATCATGAACGGTACACATGATATGCTGCACAATTATGAGTAGAATCTTCACTTAATCTTGCAACACACGATTATTGATAAATTAATCTTAAGCGAAATATAATTTTTTCTTCATTCTCGAAAGTCGTGTTCTAAAAAAAGACATTTTTAATTTCTCTTCTAAATTGAAATATTTTAGTTTAATAAAAGTCAACTTGCAACCAAAAAAGCGATTATTTTCCTCAATATTTATACACATTTGTGATCATACTAAAGTACAATTGAAAACGTGCACAGCTTTAAAACATGAAGGGATTCATGTTTTGCCAATGCTTCTGAACCGATTTAAATGAAATGAAAAAAAAAAAACAATAAAATTATATTATTTCCTTTTTTAATGAAAATATTTATTTCGCATAATTTAACGAAAAAAAAAAACAAATTATATTACGATGCAATAAAAACAAGAGTAAATTTTAATTTATGTTATGAGCTGAAACGCGAAAATTAGTTAAAATAATCAACTTATTTTTGGCTACGACATAGACCAGTGTGTTCTGTAGCACTTGTTTAACAACTACGTCGATAATAATAACGATTCTATTAAATGTTCATAATTTTTAATTTACCGAATCGCCGACAAAGATCGCTTCATTTGTGTTGGCCTCAATTTTGAAAGATAAATAAATCTTCAATACATTTTTGTCGTTAATTACTTTATAAAGAAATATATTTTCTGTTTTTGTACCCATCCATCATCGACGAATAGGCGCCTATTTATTTTATAGAAATGTATGCGACGCCCAAAAGAAAGCGGGCAGAGTTCCTATAAAGTGAAGAAGACATGTCTTGGTAAGGTCGGCTTCAAATTTGACAAAAACAAAGGGAAATTCGTGCAGGCAGGCGGGCATCGAAACCGGATACCTTTCTCTCTAAGACAAAACAAAGGGGTGAGGTTTGTGGTTAATTAACATTTTTAAGCGTACACCCACCAAAAATGGGAAAAAACAGCCCTATCCACCTAAAATAAAAAAAATTTGCTTTTTTTGCATTTTTGGTCTTTCCGAAGGCAAAAGTGTTGGGCAGAAAAGATTCGGTTAAAGCCAAATTTTCTTACTTCTTTATCATCGTTTATTACTATAATAATATTTTGAAATTATTTTTGAATGTTTTGCATATTTGGATTTCATTGCCATAGATGACGTCTCATTTTATAGCACTTTTGTGGGTAAGTTTTCTTAAATAAAAAAAAAAAATATATATTTTTTATTGAAAAAGTTGAAAGCGCGTGAATAAAAACCCGTTATAAGAATCACATAAACATAGATCGCATATAATAATCGCGAGCGAAACAATGAATGTCTCAATGCGGGGTATTCGGCGCATACTTTGTCATAAATTGTTAAAACTGCAGAAATGATGCAGAGCCGAAAAAGTTTCATTTCTTTTAACGTTTCATAATAACTATAATGGAATGACTTTCAAACTTAAAAGCAACTTCACCGTCCTTATGCTTTTATCGATAGGTAAAACGATAGAGGCGATAATAATACAATTAAACTACAAATTGCAAATAATCGCAATAGAAAACTCTCCCTCCGAAGCCGGTCAAGTTGACTTTAAAAGGGTAAAAGAAAATGCGACAGCATTTAGGGGTAGCTTTGAAAAAGGTATTGTAGAGTGAACTGAACTCAGCTATAGAGAAAACTCAGCAGTAATGCTACAAGTAGAATTCAAGCCTTTATGGCTTCAAAATATATGATGACAAAATTAATAAAGCGACGGTCATTGAGAATTCAAGTTGCAAAGAAAGAACGGGATAAACACACGGATGGATCAGATCAAAGTAGAGAAAGTATTAAAGTGTAACATTGCGTTCAAAAAACAAGGGGAATTTGGTTTGGAAAGAAACCGGCGCTTTAAGGTAAACTTTACTTTATGCTTACACAACGACTTTTAATAGCTGACAGGGAAGTCTCCTGTCACTCTAGAAATTAAAGAGTCCTTTGTAATTGTTGGACGATGGTTATCGACAAATTTTCAATATTTTGCTCATGTTTTATAATTAGCTTGATCGCCGGCGGTTCGTCTGAATGTTAAATTGTCTCCAAGTCACAAGCACAAATCCTTGCCTAATCATTTCAAGAAGGTTGAGTACGTTAGAAGCAGGACAACCGCCAAATCGATTTTAAGAATATATTAGATTATTGTATTTTTCTTATCATTATCATTATTATTATTATTATTAATAACGCGAGAGAAATAAATTCTTAAAACAAAGTCTTGAAGCGCTAGCATTTAGGGCTGTTGGGTTTATTGAAAGCTATGAGATTTGAGCTCACGAGCATTGACTTGTCAGTTGAGATCCTTTGCCGACTCTGAAACAACAAGAAAAGTGGATGTGGTCTATAGGCTACGTGACGAGCAACATGAAGTTCCTGTCAAGTACTAATCGCAGCCGCCCTAACGCAACAATGGTGTACGGAACTTACGTTTCTTTTTAAATAAAAACTACCTTTATTTTTTGAGCACAATTGTATATATGTTTATACCGTTCACCGAAGGATAAAGGGAGCAGGAAGCTTCATGGTCCCACAAAGCGTATACATTCTTGAACAGCATCAAGCAAGCATTCTCCTTGCCGCCAAAATGGAGCTATCGACTTCAATTGTCGCAGAAATATTGGAAGTTCCTGCACGCGGGTTGGTATCGAAAATGCGTTATAATCGGTCGAAGGATACGACTAGAGTACGAATACCTTTGTTTTTCAAAAGGAAATAATATATTGGTTTTGTGCTCGTTAGTCATAAGCTACAACAAATAAATCTACAAAAATTTGAATGTGTACTCTGTTTACAAAAATGGAAAAAAACCACCCAAGCCTACTTAATTTTATGGTCTATCATGACTTCATTCTCTTTTCAAAGCCTTTATAACACACGGATGCAAGCTTCAAAACCTCCATAAAGTATACAAGTTCTTGGCCAACTTCAAATTCGGAATGCATTTAAGCATGTCGGTCCGTTCATCTGTCCATCTAAGCAGTGATGTCTGTGTTCTTCCGTCCGCGAAAATAAAGGCATCGCCAATAAACTTGCAAAAGGCCTTGAAAATTAAGCAAACTTATCAACGCCCTCACGTCTGCGTAGCAAAAACTGAGAACACCTTTGCTTTCCGTGTTTCTCCTTGTTGTCCAAGCAACGTGTACACATATGTCACATCCATTTTTAATTTTATTCTGAGAATAGAAAAAATCAGCCGCGCCCACCCACTGTTGTAGAGTGGGCATATGTAGTTCTTTCACTTTTTTAAGATCGCTGGGGTAAGTATAAAAGACTCGATCACGACCGAATGAAATTTTGCTACTCGTTCAATATCCAAATGCACAGCTCATAGAGTAAAGGGAACTGATGCATGTCCACAGCATGAAACTCTTCTTAAAATCCATAGTTTTATACAATTTTTTTTTTTTTGGCCATAACTTTTTTCTCTACATAACTTATGCTTGCTTTACCTTTAAGCTTACGGCACCTACTTTTCAGTATTACGAATAGTGTAACAAATTTCATTTCCTTTATTATTCGTTCAGTTTTAGTTGACGTTAATAAAAATTCACAAGTGTATGCAAAGTTTATAAAATTTCGAAGAAAAATAAAAAAAACTCTCAAGAGAACTTTTTTTCTTTGCTTTCACTTATGCTTGAAGTTAACATATGTGTACGAAATCCCTATAAATTCCTTTTTAAAGCTTTTCATGCTTTATTTATTATATTCCCACCGGTCTTAACGTATCGTATTACACTAAATATATGTCATTATTTTCTAATTATGTGGCTTTTGAGCGATTTATTCCCAAAAACAAAATTAAAATTTCGTTTAAAACGTGTAATAAAATATTCATAAATAATCCGAAATTTTCAACACATTTCGTCCCTTGTGTAAGTTCACCAAATTACTAAATCCCACTTTATTCGAAAAATTCCAGTCTATTGAAAATGCTTGGGCTGACTGAAAAAAAAAACACACACACAAAAAAAACAGATTACAAAATTATGTTCGACACAAGGTGAACAGCAGATAACCCTTCATTGGAATTTTGGTCTTTTTTTTTTTTTTTTTTTGTTAATTAATGCAACTAATTGGAGTTATATTTTATAACGATGTCCGCTATTGGCCGTTTATAGGTTGCAATGAAAATTTACTAGAAATTTGAAATTTTTTAATATCAATTTAATGCTTTATTTTGGCTTAAGTCTTTAGCTTGTACAGATCATGCTTCTGGGCCAATCCTATCTATTTTTGAACTCGATTTGAACTCGAATCTTGGCAAATTCTACTTTTCGAACTGAAATATTAACGCCATGGTGTAGACGAGTAGTTTTAATTTAATCTCTAATTTTACATACACTGCCATGCATGGATGAACTTATTCAGAACTTCGGTGAACGTTTGTGTTTATAACTGCAGTGAAAGCTTTGATAATTGGAAGAACGGACGCAAGGATAACTCGACTCCAAAGTGGATAAAAATTTTTTGTTTATTTGGCGTTTCAGTCATTTGGACCATTGCGACACCTCTCGCGTGAACACATATGTTGCATGCGCAAATTTAGTCCGAAATTCCCAAAGACTTTATCGATTCCGATAATCGTCACAAAGGAGGTGCGGACATGCATGACAGACATTCAGGAAAATTTTATTTTATTAATTCGTTCACTTTTCAGTCATCATTATGCAAATGCAACAACGGACCTAGGGACATGTATGGTTTAATCCTATTCAAAGATTCAATGAAATTCGATTTTTTTATTTTAAATATTATCGATTTCGATAGTTGTTACAACAGTCGTATGGCCATACATGGGAGGGTACCTGATGAATAATAGTGAACGATACAAATGGAACGACAGTTATTGTATACCAGCATTTTTCGCTGAGATGATGAGTATAAAAAATTGGAAAATATGTTTTGCTTACCTTTAATACAGATTTTATTGCGCTTAAAATGTAATTTTGTATCATTGTAACGGGGTGGACCTCGTACCAGCATATTAACTGTAAGGGGGACTTGTTCGCTTACATTACCACTACAGGGTAAGTGAAGTGAAAAAGTTTCCACCTGCTGCGGTACATAGCCTTTGTCCGGTATGCTGAGGGTGGGCAGTAATAAAGCCTCTTGTTCGTGTTCATAATCGATGGTAATAGCATATGGTAGCTAAAAAAAAAAAAAAAAAAAAGAAGAAAAAAGGAAAATGTGGTTAAGTGCGAAGGGAGAATGAGAAAGAGAAAGCAAGCATAAAACGCACTGTCTGTATATACATACATATATATATATATATATATATATATAAAGGCACTCACACAATTACATTTATAAATATGTACGTGCGCTTGCCTGTCGTTGTATATAAAAGGGAATGTTGGTTAATGGAGTGCAAATTACTTTTTGAGTGGTTGCAGATAACAACCATCTACACAAAAAAGTACACAAGCGTTTAAAACCAAACAAAATTTAATATACTCAAACAAATGCATCCTCTTTTACGCGCATATATATATATATATATATATATATATATAATATATATCAGATATATATATTTTTTTTTATATATATATATATATATATATACATGTACATATATGTATATAAGTATATGCAGTTTTGATAATTTTACTACGAAGTGCTGTACAGTTTGTCTTCTCAATTTATTTTTGTGGGTGTGTCCGTCCTTCTGTCCAATTATTATTATTGCATTATACATGTATATATGAATACATATGAATTTATATGTACTCATACATGTATATATATATTTGTATATGTGTATATATACACTGGGCTAAAGGAAGTGTTTATAGTGTTTCGCGTCATATAACCTTGGCAGTAATGTTACTTGATAGGGCGTGTGAAAGGTGACAGGTAGTAAATACTTCAAAAAAAGAAAACCTTGTGACGTTTGTTATTTTAACCGAAAATAATTATATTTTGCATGTAAGTTGAAATTCTTTACGCAAAAATCCTCGGTTTCTATGCTGAAGATGGTTGATTAAAGTCAGCAGCAAGCAAATGATTTACTCGTTTTTGCTTTTAAAGTCACCCTGCGCGCTGGTGAACCAAGCGATCGTTGGTGAAGTCAATAAAATTATTCAAAATATTGTGGAATGCGGGTAAGCAGCGTACCATACGATTGCTGAAGAACTAAGGGCTGATTAAAAACAACCTCCCAAGTACTTTACACAAGGTTGGCAATGAAGAAGGTTGGTCGAAAACTAGTCTTGAAGTACTTTGTATAATGTTGGCTACGAAAAGAAGCTCGATATTAGGGTATAGCTTGGGCAACGAAAAATTCCTTGTGTCTCGAATTTCCATCTGCGACGAAACAACTCAGTTCAAAGCTCAGGTTTTTGCCACTTAAAATCATGTTTCATGTTTGATGGCATTGAAAGGGGAACATGAAGGGTGAGCTTCAACTCCACCAAATGTTTGACTCCTTTTTCCATTGGCCAGAATCAATCTTTAATGATTTTGTAACTGCTAAGAACACTGGGCGGGGAAGTATTGATAGGTAGCCTGGAGGGGTCGCTCCAAATAGTGAAAAGCTGAATTGAAAAGAGACCTATGAAAAACATTTTGTCCATGTTTTCACCTACATACACTGGAAGTTCCACAATCATGGCGCAGCGTATTTAACAGAAAAGTGATAAAAGGCCATCTATCAAAATGGCTTATATTTAATTTGATAAAATTAACCAAAAGTACAAAAAGAAAAAAAATTTATTTTAATTTTGTAGAAAAAACGATGCAAACTTGTCCTTTCCCTAAATATATTTGTGTATCTGTAAAAATATAAAACATTTAGGTCTTCTTGTTGTGCCTTCAACATTTTGACGATCATTTGATTGTCACATTTTTGTTTTATTTTGTGTACTTACGGGATATGTTGTTAGACTTTGCCACGAGAATTCGAGGTCATGTACATCCGCTGGCACCGGCACCGTGAAATGCATCGCGTATGTGTTTATGGCTCCCTCGTGGACGTAAAACAAATCTGCCTCCAATCCTACAGTCGTTGGTGTTTTGTTGTTTTAATGTTGTGTTCACACAATAGTGTACGACACAACAAAGTTTGAAATACATTTTTTTTTTTTTTGTCCCAAAACATCCACATGTTAAAGTTTTCGCACATCATCCAAATAGAATTTAGATAAGGGACAAAACGAGATGGCGACAGTCCCACGTATGTCAGATGAACCATGGCGGAAAGATTGCGTGAATAAATAAGAACCGAGAAAAAATAAACAGAGAAAAAGTTTTTTTATTTAGAAACTTTACCACATGAAGCAAATAAGTTAAAACTTGAAACGTAAACTAGTTGCCCACGTTAGGGTTTAACACAATTTGTAACCGAATAGAAACTATTGGACAGTTTTTTTAACAAACTAACAAAATCCGAACGACAATAAAACAAGTAACAAACGAACTTTTGCACCCCTCGCTAGAGGATTTAGTTACGTGAAAGGACAATGTCCACATAAGAGTCTGAAATCTGTCATTATTTTCTATCGTAGTAATCATAATAATACAAATATTCATTAGAAGAAGAAGAAGAAGAAGAAGACAAAATTTCTATCAGAACAAATTTCGTAATAACGACTGTCACATAATCCTTGTTCGCTACTTTCCGCTGCCAAACGATGAATGAACACTTTTGGGTTTTTAAGACGATTTCTTTCTATTCACGTCATACTTAAGCATAGCCTTCACTCTCCTGTTCATCATTGTTTCACACACACCAATTTACTCGAGGTGCACTCAGAATGCCTTGATAAGCTGTGTGTGATTATTTATGAAATCTCTTCATACTCTATGCCACATGTAGTATTCTGTAGTAGATATCAATTTTCCTTAACTCTTAAGCCAATTCATGGAAAGATATTAAGATTCTAAGTTCCTTATATATATATATTCTACACCAGTAGGGTGTATTAAGTTCGTACGGATGTGTGTATCACACAGAAGGACTTTAGATAGACTTAGCTTTTATTATACTGACCGACTCAAAATCACTTTCTAAATCGGCTTAAAACCTTGTCCCCTCGTCCGTCCATACGTCTATCCTGTTTTCTTTTATTCAACCCACAGTTTTTCGAGATATTTTGACGAAATTCGGACGAAAGCTATTGAAAATAGTTCGGATCCAACTAATGTTTCGAGATCTTCCCAAATGAACAACTTTATTAAACGAAGCGATGTAGGGTATTTCGTTGTCAGCCGTGCTCCACAATAGCAATTTTATTTGTTTTTATTTATATTCGAATTGTGTGAATGTGAACCATGGAAACGGTATGGATATATTTCTTTCGAGCATACCCTAAAGTTTATTGTGTGCTACTAGAGGCTTATCGAAATGGGAGCCGAAATATTGATTTTGGGATTAATCATAAAAAGCAATTAGTACATCGTTCAAAACTGAAAGAAAAGAGCTTCAGTAATGTTCAGGAATATTGGATACTCCGTGCTTTGTGGATTCAAGGTTACGCTGTAATTAATAAAAATTCGAAAATTTTCCTTAAAAAAGCAATTTTTTTCATCGCCGTTTTATTTTCTTTACTTACAGTCGCAGAGTTAAAATTGCTTATGCCTCAACTTCAGTAGTATTTAATGGTAACTAATGCGAATTCACTACAAGCTTGGGAACTAAACTTTTACAGCAGCAAATAATAAAAGTAGAGCTTCTTAAAGTAGCAAACAGTAGCGTCGTATATTCGAAGAGCAATAACAAGTTCGGGAAAAGGCGTTTCGTTGGGGGAACTATAAGGCTATAAGCGAAGTTGCTATTAATGGTTTCTGTTCTAGAATAATCGTATTTTCTTCAACTAAATTCATTTCATTCAATTCTTGTTTATACAACAAAATTAAATTGAAGCCATACGACTGAATGTTAACTTTACCACTGCATATATGAGAATGTAAAAGGAGAGAGAGAGAGAGAGAGAGAGAGAAAGAAAAGATGGCTCCAACACTCCGATACAAGGGGCAAAGCGAATGTGAGGCAAACAAAAATAGTGGCGAGTAGTGAGCTCATTGCAAACTCAATTAATTACAAATAATAAATAAGATTGATTACAAACACTTAGTATCTCGCTTCTAGTATCTATGGCACATTTTACACATATAAAAAAGACCATTAAAGGCATAAGAATTCTGAGTTACAAGTTAGCTTTTAGTCACCCAATCTCTTCGATTCAATATGTCATTTTATTCATAAAGGATTCTATGCAAAATCCTTGATGTGTTAAAACTAGACTAACCGTGAAGCTAGCTCCAAATTCATCTTCAGCTCCGACAACAAAAACGAAAGCACAGAACACTTTTTCTTACATGAAAAAAAACAACTCCATGATCTTTGATCCTTTTCGTAGTAATTTGCCTTCCAACCACTATGACGTTATTCTTTCTGCCGTCAACGGGCTATCCTATACTAACGTTGTGTTTGCACACGACCCTAAACCGCCATTATAGCTCAAGTTGTTCAAGTTTTTCAAAACAGCCTCGCTACCCGAATCCGGTTGAAATAACCTTCATAGCGCGAAAGAAGAAGACTTCTTTACACAATTTCCGAGAAAATATTTCGTCTCTTTCTGATCTCTTCATCGAAGCTATACCGGCTTCAAGCACGACTCTTTCAATAAAGTCAAAAAATCCACTTTCAGATAGATTCGTCAGAATTTGATAATTGCCTTTAAGAAGAAGAAAAAGACATAGTGCTGCATTTGGCCCATTTTAAGTACCAACCTGCCACCATGCAAGAACTTCCAATTTTGCTATGGCATTTCAGGTCGATAGTTCAGCGACCCGAAAAACGTTTACAACATTACAAAGACAGACAGAGGGACAGATGGGCATGTTTATATATTATATATAGTTTGGGGTGTCTCTGAAGCTTCCTTATGGGCGTTGCAAACGTTTTGACAAACTAAATTCATCTCCCATCCTGACGTGATGAATAGAAAAGAAAAGTTGCTACCATTTTTCTAGAGATTGTGATGATCGCAGTTTCATCTTTATTTGTTTTAAATTAAATGAAATTGATTACACACATGGAATATATGTTATTACAACTCCCAAGGTATAAGCAAAACCAAGCACAATCCAAGTTATATTTATATATTGTTACAATTTAATCGTCGTTTGTTGTTCCTATAAATTTCAAATACTAACAAAGGGAAGGATTTGCTCTTAAACATGTACATATATACAATGTAATCATATAAAGTTTTTCCTGCTTTAGCCAGTGAAACGTAATTTTATTCTACTCTATAAACCGGACGTTTGGTTTTTCCTCTATGCAAGCTTAGGTAGTGTAATGCGTTAGCATTATTTTTACCGTCTACTCTTACCCTCTTTCTCTCTCTCTCTCTTTGTGTTATATTTATTTAGAACTTTTTTTTTCTTGCTTTTTACCGTGAGCGCCGACAACTTCATAAACTTAACCGACTTGTCTTAAATCAATTTTGTGTTTAACAAAAAAATAAAAATAAAAAATAAATAAAAAAAACTCACAACACAATATAGAAATTAACTGTTTACTCAATAAAAGACCGAGACGTGAACTCAAAACACTACTAACGCTACCGTCAACCGTCAACGTTCGTTACTGACGATATGCGGCGACTTGCGATGGAAGAATGAATTCATTCAGTTCAGTATGAAGAGCAAAGAATATAAAGGCTCGCTATACGTAGTCCAGCAGCTCTTTGTTTAAGAAAGGAAATGTTGGCGTTGTTTGACAAGTTTTGTGTAAACGGAAATAAAATGGAATTCTTAAGAGATTTAATGTTTCCGTTTTCATGCACAGAAAGAAGAAAAGTAAAGTAAAATAAAAAAAAAAAAACAAAAACAAAAACAAAATAAGAAACGGAAAAATAAAAAAAGAAAATATTTAAACAAATTATATAAAGCTATTTATAAATCCGTTACAAATACAAAAAGCAGAGACGTAGCAAGGGGAATATAAAAACGAAAAAAAAAAAAATAAATAAATAAAAATAGAAGCACCAGTATTTTCTGGCTTTCGTCATCCAAATCAGTCAAGAAATAGGCTAAGTATGTGGCAACAAATGCAAGTGTACTCTGACTGAAATAGATTTTTGTGCTCAATTATATTATAATAAAGAATTCCAGTCGCTACGGAATGCTTTCAAATCCATTTTTTTTCTTTCTCTCTAGTAATTCGCTTCGCAGATAAGGGAGTTACCTCTCACACATTTTAAAAAATGAAGAAAAAGCCAAAAAAAAAAAAAAAAAACGCATAAAACATATAAGAAATTCTTCTGCTTGTCTGGTCGCAAGGAACTTTTACTCTTCGCAACAACAATAATAATAATAATAACAACAGCTGCAACAACAGCGATCAAATAAATAAATAAAAACATATAAAAATTGAAAATCTCGTGTAAATACAACAACGTTTAACATTTTCACTTTGTCACATAATAAAATAACCGACAGCAACGACGGCGGCAGCTACAATGACAACAATAATGTTAACAACGACAATAGCTTTTTATTATTATATCCTTCAAAAGCAATACAACAGAAGAATGAAAGTAAACGAAATGCCGAAGAGGCAGATTCCTGCTGCGCAACGTGCAAAGAGGCAGAAAGCGAGAGATGGAGGCAAAGGGAGCCACAGTGAAGTCTTTCTAAGAAAACCTAATAAACGAAGACATTTGAGTAAACGTAACAAATTTAAAATCAGTTCTAAAAAGGAAAATATAAAGCGAAAAAAAAAACAATTCTTTTTTTTTAATTTTGAAAGCGAATCTCGGATATCCTGAGAGAATCAAAGCAATTTTTAATTTAATCATACTTTTTCTTAATAATAGGCGGTAGAGATATCGGCTTTGTTCAGGATATTTCCAGATAAATTTGGGCCGCAGCTTGCAAATTCTTTTTCCAAATATATATAAAAACTTTGATGATTTTCAATTCAATCCAAACCAAGTAACTATACCTTGCAAAAATGCAGCCCGTTTGTAAGAGCTTAATTTCACTTCA